GCTCCTCCGCGCTCCCGGGGGGGCGTCTGGTCTCCGGGCCCGGGCTCTGCTTCTCCCCGCCTGTCACGGAAAGGACGACGGCCCGGTCAGGGCGGCAGCTCCACCCGAAGCCTGAGCTTCCCGAGACCATGGGAGGCCGCCGGCTAGCTCCCAGCGCCCCCAGCAGGAACGAACCCGGTGACGACAGCAGAACGTGGCCCCGGCTCGGGCCCGGGGCTGCGCCCTGGCTGCCGAGCTCCTGCCTCAGCTCCTGCCTCAGCTCCTGGTTCACCCGTACGTGGCGGCCCTGCTCCTTCTCCAGGGCCTGGGTCCGGGCCTCGGACTGCCTCCTGCTGTCCACGCCCGCCTCGCCGAGGTGGTCTGGGGGGTAGCAGCGGTGAGGGCGGGTGGGGGGGGGTGAGAGGGGGCGGGGCGGCACCTCACCTCGGCCCTGCTGCAGCAGCAGCTGCATGTTCTGCTCGTGCCCCTTCTGCTGCAGGGTCAGCTGGCGGTCCATCTCCAGGCGCTGCCGCTCCAGGGCCACCTCCAGCCAGTACACCAGCCTCTGCTGCTCCTCCAGCTGCATCTCCAGCTCCGAGAAGGCCACCTGCTGCTGGTGCTGCTCCTCCCGCAGGGTCACCACCTGCCCAGACCCGCCCGCTTGATGCTGCCCAGGCCCCGGGAACCCAGTGGCCCTCCGCCCACAGAGCCGGGCCCGGCAAACTGGCCAGCCAGGGGGACACCAGCCGCGAGACACCAGCGTCCCAGCAGGTCTTGGCCGTGATATCCGTGCGACGGACACTGGCGCCCAAGGTGACCCGTACCCGCCCCGCCACCCCCTCGGGTCCCATCGCGGAGACCCCAGGCGGGGCCCTGGGCGCGGGATCTGCGCGGGCCGGGGCTCCTCCCCACAGCCGCTGGCTTCGAGCCAGGCCGTGCCCTGGTGGCGGCTGCCCGGTGCGCTGCGGGCTGTTCAGCACTGTCCCGGCCCACCCCCCGTGTCCCTCGAAAGCACTCGGGGGTGTGACCCGCCCGTTACCGCTGATCTGGGCGGGGCCCCTGAAAGGTGCCCCCACGGGGCACTCGGGCCGAGTCCGAGCGGCCCTGGCCGCCGGGAGGGCAGCCGCTAGAGCCCCACAGGCACTCTGGAGGGCCGAGGGGCGGGCGGCCC